ATGTCCCGAAATGAAAAACGACCATTTTGCCTCACTAATACCGATGGAGTTGGAGAAGTAATCAAACGCCATTTCATACTGTTTCCCAGCCGCAATAGAACCAGAAGGCGTCAAACACCGAAATGGCGAGATTCGCCGCGACAAGGGATCGCTTATCCATTCAAAGCGATAAGTATTTGTGCTGGGATTAATGACTTTAAATCTGACACTGCACTTACTGTTCAGACCGCATGAATAGAACATGAGTGGAATCGTGTTGGGATCCAAGTTTGTTCCCGCCTCACCATCAACACGGGAAACCAAATAATCGGATGCGGGCACATTGAAGTGAACCAAAGGACACTCCGCCGTTCCTTGGAGCGAGATGTAAACTTTGGGCTCGAGACTGTGGGGGAAAGAGCCCACAAGAACCTGAGAAGTATTTTCAATGGACTTCGGTGCAAAAATCACACTCACATCCTGATAAGCTCGAGGATCGATCTTACCGGAGGCGGGCTCCACCGTGAATACACCGGGCATCCCTCCTTCTCTACCCGATTGTCGCTGCGGGTCATGTATTTCAAACGAAAAGGGCAACACATTCAAACCCGTGTTCTTTACCCGAAGTGTGGCAATTCGCCTCTGAAATATCTTCGTCAAGGGGAACGTGAGATTGTCGGAAATCTCCATATCCCCACTCATCGGTAGCGTGATTTTGTATGAGGCAAATTCAGTGGCATAGCTCACGTAAAGCGTCTTTTGCAGCGAAAGATCACCAGTGACGTTGTACGAAGGCTCTGGAACAGCTTCAAGAACTTTACGAACATTTTTTCGAGTATTGCTCTCTGAAGAGGTGGAGTTTTCCACGGCATCCGGATCCTCCGCTGGGGATAATACGGCCCACCTCGATTTTGTCTGCGTATTGTCCCAATCATCCCCTTCCATCGTTGTAATAGACTTCACTCGGAATACAGTGGAAATGGTCTCCCCCGATACGGTATCCGTGTAAAGCCGCAACGTTAATTGCTTTGTTGAACCTGGTGACATGTGACCCAGTTGTGGGGTGCATTGGAGGATGGAAGAGGAACAACTCCACTCGAAACGGATCGCATGGGGACTGTTATTACGCAGCAACATCACATGCTCCACTGGCTGTGAGACATAACACTGGCCCAACGTTAGTTGGTCCTCGCTTCCAGGGTCAATATTTTCAAAGCTGATGGCATTGAAGTAACTTTCAGCCAAGATCCATAACTCACGGTCCTCATATGGGTTTTCCGTCACAGCAACACGCAACCGCACCCGATGCTTTTCAATTGAAGTGGGTGCAAAGTTCACTGTAAAGGATTCGGCACAACCCGCAGGAAGAGATAACACTTCTCTCAGCTTCGAGACACTAATGTCACTCGTAAACTCATCGGGAGCTGAAACACGAATATGAGCATCCAACTCGCCTGTGTTACGCACAGTAAACGTTCTCGACGACGCGTTTCCAACCAGTGTCACGGGTAACTGAATCGTGTCGGAAACAGCATTCTCTGTTGCAAATTCCGCCATTTGGTGCGCCGCAACTTTCCTGGGCTCCCTTCCTCTCACTCTGGATCCTTTTTTCATTGTTGTTGTCAAACTAACGGCAAATGGCGTCTGGAGCCGCGGCGGAAGGATGTACTCCACCGAAGGCAAAACTCCCTCGCCAGCAAGTTCAAATTCCAAAGCACTTGCCTTTGGATCCGGGATACCAACCACAACCGCCTCAAACCGTGCACGAGAAGACTGTAGTGTGGAAGGAGCAAAGCTAACCGTGACAAAGCGACTCTCAAAGGACGGCAATTGAAGCGTATTGGTCTTCTCTGGCTCCCCATCAATCGACAATTGAAATCCATCCACTTCTAGAAGAGGTTCCCGTTCCTTCTTGTCCCTCTCTTTCTCTTTCCCCTCCCGTGGGTATTGCGGCAAAAGCTGCAGTTTTACAGTGCACATGAGCGGACTGGAATTGGCAATTCGGAATCGCTCCTCCACCCGACTGCCAACGAGGGTAGTGCCAAAGTAAAAGGTACGAGTATCCCTTGCGTAGGCACGCAACGTCTTGTTACGTTGAGAATAGCTTGACACCACTTGTTGTTCCTCAAATATAGTCTCCACGTCCACAAGGGATGAGAGGTCGGACACAATACCAGGGGTTGTTGTGGAGGCGACAAGCTCAAAAGGAATACCTTTTGCCTCCGTCTCTGGGTCACAGTGATCCACATATATACCAAGTGTCTCCCTATTATTTGATCGTGTCTTCTGTATAGTGAGCACCTGAAATGAAAAAGTTTCCCCTACAGCAACAGTGCCACTGCTTGGCGACACCGTAAAGACACCCAACTGAAATCCTGGGTCTGGCTTCGCAGACTTGCGTTGCTTTTTGCCGACACCTTCCTCATCCTCCTGCTGCAGTAACGCTGGCCCATTTTTGTAGTTGAACAGTCTAAAGTTAAGTGGAAAGTGGCCGGTATTTTGCAGCTCAAAGGAGCATTTTTTACTTTGATTGACAACACAAAACCCAAAGTCAATGCAAGCTGGTTTAATGGTAAATCGATTGTACCATGCCTCCCCACTCACGGGGATACTTTGCACAGGGAAGAGTAGTTCATTTTTGACGGGGTCAAAGAAGGAGGCTTCAATCACACCGAGTGATGCCGGGATTTCGCCTTCCTTGTCGAAGCGAATCGTCACCTCCACATTCAACAAAAAGGCGTCCTTGAAACCCACCAACCCACGCATTACCCCCTCACTCGGATTAAGTGAGATGAGGTTTTGAAGGCATTTGGGCAATCGTAGCAGGTAACCCACATCATATGGGCTTTTGTTGAGGATGAGTACATTCTCTTTCTTTGTTTCACCCACATGCATAAGTTTAAAATCCACATGATTTGACCACTCAATCACCACATCATGAGCCTCAGCCTTAACGGTTAAAGGAATGGACTCAAACAACGTCTCTTCCGCATCTGTCACTTCCACCCTCAGTGACATATTGTGAACACCAGGACGCGTGGGTTTGAAAACAATCTCCAACGGATACATGCCATTCACATCAAGAACACCACCGGTAGAACTTAACTTAAACTCCATTGGAACCTTCTCAACCCCCGCAATGCGCCAGCAAACAGGCATCAAACTGTCATTGGCGATGTTAATCACTTTTCCCACCTCACGTTTAATTAGACAGCGTCCGTATTGTACCAGCAACTCCTTCTTTCCATTCAGTGTAACCGCCGGACGTGTACCCACGCAGGAGACATTCACAAACCAGGGTGTGGGGTTGTCTCGCACCGTCACAACAAGAGTCGAGAAAACTTCTCCAATAGTTTCAGGGGCGGCACGAAGCACAACATTTGCCGTTTCTCCCACACTTAAAGTAAATTTGTTTGGGGTGACAGAAAAGTTTGTTTCCTTTTCTTTTCCAAATGATAATGAAACTTCTGCAGGGAAAATCCCGGTGTTTGTGAAGGTCATTGTATCCTGTGCTCCAGACTCCTTATTACTAAGGACCGCCGACCTATTGATTGTGCTTAATGACTCATTCAGCTGCCTGTTTTTCTTGAAAGATGACGATTGCGCACTGACGACCCCTCCAGGGACAATAAGCGGACCAAATTCATATGTTTTCTTCGACATCACAAAAACACGAATTGGCCGTTTTCCAGCGATGGCACGTGGCTTCGTGAAGGGAAATATTTTTTTATAATCTCGGCAAATCTCTGGGTATGCGGTGCACGCAAAAACAGGCAAGGTGATTTCTTGAGTTGTACCTGTAATTCCAAACGAGAAGGGAATGTTAATTTGTCCCAATCCATCGCTACAGAAAACAACAGTGACTTCTACCGATGACTTGGGCGGTACTATCCATCGTGCGGTTTCCTCCATTGCCAACGTCGTCTGCGCGGGACTTCCCTTCGCTGTCTTTTTTACCAAAACTTCTCGCCGTGTGACAGTAAAGAAACAAAATTGCTCAACTCGCGTGTTTGTGCGTCCCATTGTTTCTTCTGTAATCAACTCCCACATTCCACTGCGTCTAACATTGGGCAAAAAACTCAGACTCTCATTTTTATCTTCCATCAAGGAGAATGGAATTGGGCTAGGCGGACTTGAATGCATGACATTATCCCCTGAGAAGAATTGTTCCACGATGGCCTTATTGACATCCTTTTCCTCCGCTTCTCCGCTCACCACAATATGCGTCACACCCCCGATGCACCGCAGTTGTGTGTAGAGCTCCTTGTATTGTTCGAGTTCAGAAATTTCTTCCCATTGCGGCCTAGAACGCGGTTCCGACACATTTTTTTTACTTCTCGAGGCTGACCGGATAAGTGCCTCCTGTTCTTCCAATGCAATGATATTTTGCTCCGCATGCTCTTGGACCGTTAACTGTGGGTTGTTTTCCAGCTCCGCTTCGTAGCGTGACACCTCGTTGGAGGCCTCAGTAAGGGCCCGCTTACATGCATTATAGTGCAACAGACGACGGTTGTACGCATCACGTCCTTCCTCGTCAAGAGTCTCATATTCCTCTTCTGTAAGGGGCAACGTTATGGCCGCCTCCGCAATTTCACGACATTTCTTCTGTACGTCAAGGCTACGCCGAAGCCCGGTTGTTGCCTCACTTACACCGAGAGAAATGATCTGCAGTGTCCTTCCTGTTACAGAAGCCGCTCTTTCGATGGCAATCAGTACCGCCTCCCGATCCTCGGTAAGAATGGACCTGAAATCATCTATCACCACATCCGTAACGGAACTTAACGTAGAAAGATGACGCAGTAAAAGTGCATGCAGAATTTTAC